CCGGTATACTGCAGTGGTAAGGGGGTCTCTTTTGTCCTTTGCTGACCGTAACATTTGTTATATTTTTGTGGTGGGTCTGAATACTGTTTGTAGGTTGTGTTTTCTCAAAAGTTTCCCCATGTGGTCTGTGACCCCTTTGATGTATGGCAGAAATACTTTATTTGTGGGTGGCTGTTTTTCCTCTTCAGTTTGGTGTTGTTTTCTTGGTTTGATGGCTCTTTTGATTTCATTCCTGGAATAGCCATTCACCTGTAGGGGCCAATTCAGATGGTTGAGTTTGGTGCTGAGAAATTGAGCTTCACAGTTCCAGTTTGCATGATCTACCAGTGTTTTGATTGTGCCTTTGTCTATTGTCTTTCCCTTCTCTTAAAGGGCCGATTGAGAAGCTACCTGCAGCCAAAGCCACTGCCATGGATTTGACTGTGAGCAGCTTCTCAACCAAACCTGTAATGCAAGACAAAGAAAAGATTTTAAAAATTGTTTTATATAAGTGATGCAGCAAATTAAACATAGTCTACATACAGAAAAAAAATACTATTTTTTTCACTTATGTTGTCTGTTGAGCATGGTGAATTACTAATTTGCCAATACAGTGGTGCCCCGCATAGCGACAATAATCCGTTCCGAAAAAATCGTCCCTATACGGATTCGTCACTATGCGGAACAAAAAAGCCCATAGGAACGCATTAAAACACATTTAATGCATTCCTATGGACTTAAAAACTCACCTTAGGCAAAAATCCTCCATAGGGGCCACCATTTTCGGTGCCTCTAAAGCGAGGCAACACAGCAGGCGACCATTTTGGAACCGCCGATCAGCTGTGCGAAAATGGGGCCTTTGGGATGATCCCGTGGGAGCGCTTCCCCGTGATCATCCCAAAGGCCCCGCCGATCAGCTGTGCTTCGGCGCTCTCTCTATCCACCCCTCGCAGCTCCAGCCTTGGCAGGGAGACTGAGGAACCGCGCCGCCACCCTGGCTGAGAAAGACCTCTGCGCCTGCAGAAGGTCTTTCTTGGCCAGGGTGGCAGCGCCGCCTCAATCTCCCTGCCGAAGCTGGAGCTGCGAGGGGAGAGAGAGAGAGAGAGAGACAAAGCACAGCTGATTGATGGGGGGTTGCGATGACGGCTTCCCCGCGATCTTTACAAACCCCCACCGATCAGCTGTGCTTCGGCGCTCTCTCTCTCCACCCCTCGCAACACAGTTGATCGGCGGGGCCTTTGGGATGATCCCAGGAAAGAGCTTCCCCCCAATCCTTGCAAAGCGATTTTTACCTATCTAAAAAATCATTATGCAATTGCTTTTGTGATCACAAAAACTCAATCGCTATGCGGATTCATTGTTAAACGGGGCGCTCGTTAAGCGAGGCACAACTGTATCTTTATTAAGCCATTTTACAATATTGGCAAATTGAAAGAGGAAGGCTTGCTTTGGATTGGTTCTAGTTATCACACATGCTTGAACTGATTGAAACCAGAGCAATCCTACTCACACCATAAAAGTAGAAGCCCCTTGATAAGGGTGAGAAGGGTGCAGATCAGAAAACTCTGGGGATGGGCTGGCACACTCAACCAAAGACATCATCTGATTGCCATAATTAAGAGTATGCAGCCTATCCCTGCAGCACTCCAAACAGCATGCTAAACAGCTCAGCCTCAAAGTTAAGCAAACTTGAATTTGCAGACTTGCTAGATTACCCCAAGATGTACCTCCTCCAATATATTTTACAGATTCACACGGAAGATGGGGCGAGCTTGTTTTCTGCAGCTCCAGAGGGTAGGACCCAAACCAATGGATTCAAATTACAAGATAGAGATTTTTTTAAACTAAATATTAGTAAGCCCTTCCTGAAAGTGATAGCTATTTAACAATCCAACAGAAGTTATGAATTCTCTTTCACTGAAGGCTTTTAAATGAAGGCTTTCAATACTAAGATCACTGATGAGGCTATGAACCAGCAAGCGGAACTTTGCTGGGTGGTTTGTGATCTCACCAGCCATGGTTAGCAATGGCCTAGTTCTGGTGATTTCACCAGTGATTAGTTTGCAGCATTTCTAAAATTTAAAATTGAGGTGATCCAATCTGATCTTGACTGCACCAGCAGTTTGGTTGATTGGGTGGGGATCACTGCTGCACCATCTCCCTCTGCCCATTTGGTTCAGTTTGACCTGATAACATTAGAGGAAGTTTCCAGGGCACTGATTAGCTGCAGACAGACTGTCTCTTTGCTCAACCCTTGCCCTGCATGGTTAATAAAAGCTGCTAGAGGCCATAGTCAATTGGGTCATGAATATTGTGAACTCAATGAAAGAGGGATTCCTTCCCTAATGTGTAAAGGAAACTACCATCAGACTCATTATTAAATGACCATACTTTGCAATGGACAATCTTAACAACTTTAGACTAATCACCAACATACCCTTTATGGGCAAAGTGATGGAGCAGGTAATGGCAAAGCAGCTTCAGATCTACCTCATCACCCAACTCTGCCCCTACCTAAACAAGTGCGCACTCAAGATGCTGGTGCACACACTGGTCATCTCCAGGATTGACTAGTGCTGGGCTCTCTACATGGGGCTTCCCTTGAAGCTGAGACAGCAGGTTTGGAATGCAGTGGCCAGACTGTTGGCTAGCATGACCAAGTATGATCACATCACTCTGGTTCTGGCTTGCCTCCATTGGCTACCCATTGTGCTCAAAGTCAGCTTCAAGATTTTGATGTTTATATACAAAGCCCTCCACAATTTAGGACAATGGTGCTTGTGAGAGCATTTTCCTCAAAGGTCACTTGCCCACTCCACCAGATCTTCCCAGGCAATACTCCTCTGGGTGGCCACTCCAAAGGAGGCTTGGAAGTCATTTATGAGAGGTTGGACCTTTTTCACAGTGACATCAGCTTCTGGAACCTGGTGGACCTGCACTTGGACCTGAACTAACTTTTCTTTTAAATCACTCCATAAAGTTTGGTTATGGCTGTTGTCTTCATAAGTGACACCTCCCTTGGAAAGATTGCACTTTTGATCCTACTACTTTTGCTATAGAAGGGCAACTTCTCTAAAACATAGAATCACAGACTAATCACAGAGTGCTGTCCTCTTAAGATGCCGGCCACAGAGACAGGCAAAACGTTAGGAAGAACAACCTTCAGAACATGGCCAAAGAGCCCGAAAAACCCACAACAACCACAGACTAATGAACTTGGAGAGGGCCTATAAGGCCATCAAGTTCAACCCCATGCTCAGTGTAAGAATACAAATCAAGTGGTTGTCTAAATTCCTCTGGAATACCTCCAGTGTTGGAGTACTCACCACCTCTCAAGGTAATTGATTCTATTGCTGTACTTCTCTAACAGGAGGTTTTTCCTGATATTCAACTGAAATCTGGCTTCCTGTAACTTGAGCCCATTGTTGCGTGTCCTGCCCTCTGGGATGATCGAGAACAAATCCTGCCCCTCCTCTGTATGACAGCCTTTCAGATATTTGAAAAATGCTATCATATCACCCCCTCAGCCTTCTTTTCTCAAGGCTAAACATGCCCAATTCTTTCAGCCTTTCCTCATAAAGCTTCGTTTCCAGCTCCCTGATCATCCTTGTCGCCCTCCTCTAAACTTGTTCCAATTTGTTAGCATCCTTCTTGGTGTCAAGAAATGGACACACTATTCAAGGTAAGGCCTTTGAAAAAGGCTATTGTATCTCCCCTCAGTTCTTTCAATCTTTCCTCATAGGCCTTGGTTATGTGTTATGTGTGTGTTATATATACTCCATGTGTATAGTCTGATGATTTGACATAACAGTGGGGAAAAGAATAATAAGCATTTATGCAATTATGTGGATGACAGTGCAATGCAAACTTTAAAGAAGAAAAATTGTGGAAACGATCAAGCAAGATAGATCATATATTTATTGCCATTTAGAGGAGGAGGGAAGTAAAACACTGTGATACTAACAAAAAATGTTGTGAGCAGCTTTGTTATCATGTATCCTTTCTCTTCTATAAACTGAAGCACCAACTGACTCTGGTAATAAAACAAAATAAGCAAAACCACTTAACTTAAAGCAGTTATTTACCACATCTGTTGTAAGAGATGAAGCTAATTATTAAACCTTGAGCTACTGATGAAATGCTGTGCTGGGTCCTTTTAAAAGGAATTTCATCTTCTCTCACCCTATAAAAAGGAAATACAAGGGGGGATGAGGAGAGTGTACACAGTACAAGAATCTGGTGGAACTAGTTCCCTTCGGAAAGTCTGGGATGTAGAAGCACTCGACGGGGTCCTCTCTCTGCAAGTACAAAAGGAGAGGGCCTTTGGAGGCGGTGGCAGTTTTCTCCAGCAACCTGGTGATCAGGAGGGAAGTACAATTTGTATTTGTTACCAATAGCTCCATTCTGGATGTCAATACATAGTTTGGCTTTCATTAAGATCAGAAGAAATGTAGCACATGTGAAATCTGCAGCTGATTGCAAGGATATATGTGTCTTATATTCTGCACAGTTCCCAGGAGCTTAGTGGAATTTCTCTTGCTAAGCAATGGTTGACAGTTTGAACATGTTACTCTTTCAGTCTACAATTCCCAGAATCCCTTGGCCAGCATGGGGGATTCTGGGAGCTGTAGTCAAAGTAGAAATTCCATAGGCTCTGAAAATTTGCAGCTCCATTTGATCCATTTCATAAAGCTGGAGCAAAATTTCTGAGACAAAGATTTTCTGATAAATGTTCTTAAAATTTTCTTGTTCAGTTTCCTCTGATCTAGGGCATTTTCAGGACATATTCAATGTCCCTCCAACTGTATTTGGTCTTTGCACCTCGGTCTGTGTTCTTCGCCGGAGATAAAGAACCCATTTTCAGGGGTAACAGTTTCAGGAAAGGAAAGGGTTAAACAGCTCTTCTTCTTTTCTTCTTCTTCTTCTTCTTCTTCTTCTTCTTCTTCTAGTTCAGTGGTTCCAAACCTTGGATCCCCAAATGTTCTGGGATTACAGGTCCCAGAAATCCTGGCCAGCGCAGTTAGTGGTGCAGGCTTCTGGGAGTTTTAGTCCAAGAACATCTGAGGACCCCAAGATTGGAAACCATTGCTCCATTCTTGAGGCTGCCTTTGGCCCTTTAAGCGAAAAGAAACAGAAACAAAAACACATTAGGATAAAGAAACACTCTGATGGATACAGTTTGTTTGACAGAGGCCATCCGCACAGATGTTTGTTCTGCTTCGCACCCATGATATTGTTCATGGATTGCTGGGAGTATAAAAAGTATGGGGAAATGTTTCTGGTGTCTTGTGTGTTTTTAAGGCAAGAGATCTTCCTAGATGGGAAAAATCCTCTCCATCCCTTCTTCCAGTCTGTCCCCATTTGTTGCAAATCCCCATGGGAGATACTGGGATTTGTATCTATTATGAATTGTACTGTCGGGTTATTGCAAGTGGTGTGCATGTGCACACAGAATGCACACACGCACACTCACAAGCGCGCGTGCGCACACACACACACACATTCCTAAGCAAACTGCTGCCCCACCTTGCAGTCGAGGGCAACCTAATGCAAGGTCTCAGTTTAACCCTTTCTACCATAGCAGCAGCTTCAGTTTCTTTTTCCAGTTGACCTTCCTGCTAACCTGCTCCTTTCTCTTGCTGGCACTGTATGTAGCTGGGCGGTATGACCAGTGAGTAGTGTGGAGAAAAGGGATGAGTTTGCTACTTGGGCCATGAGCAGGGATTAGAGAGCAAAGGAGCAAAGGAAGGACAGATGGTTCCCGGCCTGGAATAAACAACTGGGAGCAGGTGGGGTGGGGAAATCATCCATACCTTCAGGAAGTGCTTTCAGAAAAAGGTCTACAAAGTCACAGATTTTGGTGCAAAATCCTGCCACTGGATTTTGGGTGATTCTTTCGACGGAGGTTGCAGGCTGCTGCTTTTGACGTGCATGGCACATAAACTTTTTTTTAAAGTCTCATTGTTCACTGATTGGTCAACCTGTTTCAGAGCTACAGGTTTCAGGTTGTGCAGGGCTCAGGAGCAGTCACCTGTATCCTTCATAAGAGCTGTACTTTCACTGCTAAAATGCAGAAACTTTGTACTGGCTCAGACACAGGCACTGTGTATTTTAGCTTCCATTCCCACTCATTAGCAACTGTTTTAAGTGTTTAAATCATTATTGTGTCTCATTTAAATGAAGATCACCAAATCTTTTTTTTTTAACTCATCCTTACAGATGAGACTGCTGCAAAATGTAAGCTGGATTTTGGTAAAGCAACAGCCATGGAATTGAAACCGGGCCTTGAGTTGGCCTTGATCCCTTACAGTTTAAAATCTGTGTCTTAAAATAAGGTATCAGAATAAAAGGTTATAATACTATAACTCTTAACATATGCTTTAGTTCTCACTTCTGCTCTGCTTTTCATCTGGCAAAAATCTGACACTGGTTTATTAAAGCTTTGAAATCTTTGTTCACATCCATTCATTTCCAGCTCAAAGCTGCACTTCATGCTGTGGCAGGAGGGAAAACACGGGAAGGTCTGTCTGAATGAGATGGAAGAAAAGAGATGAGCACTTTGTAATCTGAGATTAGTGGATAAAGGAGACTAGAGTAAAAACACATTTCCTGTTTAAAAAATTACCCACTTAGCGTTAATGCAAGACAACCCCACTGAGCCAGCATGGAAACTGGGATTAGGAACTAGAGTGTGCGTCAAATGAAAAGTACATGTGTTGACTCCCAGCAGCCTTCTGGTGATTTGCTGATCCTTTGTAGATAGACATTGAAGTGCTGTAGACAGCGTGATAGATGCATTGTTTTCCCTCATATACACATGCATTTCTTCCATCCTATTATTGTCTCTAATAAAATGAGTTTTATCTGCTTTTGGGATATATATGTAGCCTATTAGCAACATATCTCACAACATCACTTTCAAAACTCTCTTATCAGCCCAAGCAGGAGGCAGGAAGAAGTTTGTGCTAGAATCATGAAATGGCCAAGCTACGGATTTGTCTGTAAATAAAATTTATTGTTCTTATTAGCTCATTCAGATTCAGAAATGTTTGGAATTCACCAAGTATTGTAATATTCAGATAGTTCTGAATATATCTGAATCCAAATTTAATAGTTCCAAATATTTGTAATAGTAATTCCTAATATTTCGAGTCCCAGTTACGTCTATAGACCAGAAAGCAAAATGCTAGGTTTCTGCTTGCTAGATGAAGAAGTGAAATTGATCCTGGAATGATTTCTTGAGAAGTGAAACTTAAAGACAGTCTGGCACTGAGGGTAGTGGGTGCAGAGAGCTCAGTGGCTTTTTATTGGGGTTGCCATGAATTTCCTAAGGGAGGGGGCTGAGGTGAGAATGATGTCTCTCTGCCCCAATGAAATCTAGAAACAAGCACAGACACCAGAAGGTATTTGTTCACATTGGTTCTTCCCAGTTGAAAGGTCAGCATTGCGGCTTATAAATTGCCTGAGTGTTTGCTGTTAGGCTAGCTAGCTATTTATTTATTTATTTATTTATTTAATCTTTGTCCTTAAAAAGACCCATCCTTAAAAGATTAAAGCTCACAACAGTGAGTAAACATGTACATTCTCCACATCTCATTGTGCATTGTTTACTTAATAAAATTAGGATAAGATTTAAGATTAGTACAGTAGATTCTTAGATTAATATTTTATGCATTGACAGGGAAATATTATAGTAGGTTTAGGTTCTTAGGTATATCAGGAAGGGGGGGAATAAGATTTTGTTATATAAAGACAGATAGATTCAGTTAATAGATTTTGTGTTTGTGTGTGCATGTGCGTTTGGATAGAGTCTGAAATACAAAATATGGGTATGATAGAAATAGACACATGGGGAAAGCTGCAGGAATGCTGCCTGAATTCATTAAAGCAGCGTCCAATGAGAGGAGTGGCACAGAGGAAGGAAAAGGTCTGCAACTGCTATTACTTGCCCTCCGAACAAAATCTGTCACCCAGCTGCTATATTCAGGGCTGACACTATGAAAGAGCAGAAGGCTCTGTGTGTGTGTGCACGCATGTGTGCATGCGTGCATGTACATGCCAAAAAGGCAGCAGAGAAGCCTATGGTTCAAGGTGAGACAGATATGAATGGACCTCTGAAATGTTCCAGTGACATCTTTGTGCAATCCAGCCAGAGCAAGGGGCTAAAAAAGATAGTGAAGGAAGCATTTTTCTCCCAAAGAGCTGGTGTGCCAGAGAAGGACAAGGATGGCATCAGGACTCAGACTGACACTGTCTGCTGGCTCCTGCTTTTGTAGTGGGGAAAGAAATTTATGAAGAGTGTGAGACGGTGGCTCTCATAGCCATACTAACAACGGAACAGTTTGTGAAAGTGATCTGGCTGCCACATCTGTCACCCCATTGATCACCAGAGTTGATTCAGCTGATCTGGCTAGCTAGGTGGGTTCCTCTTCCTCCCTCAGCACTCCATGTGCATCCCTCCTGAAGCTGCGTGCTCAATGGAAGAGGACAACCATCCCAGATGGAAACAGTGTACTGTTCTTTGGTCAAAGGTGTACAATAGCTGCATTCCCGTGCTAGAACCTCCAACAAGCTCATATCCATACTATGCCATTTTATCATATTCAAGGGAGGTTTTACCCCAGCCCCCATTCCAAGCAAATCTCTCCTGTGCAGAGCAGCTTTTTGGTTGGTGGGAACTCCCCTTAAAGCACTGGTTCTTAACCTTAGGTTACTCAGGAGTTTTGGACTGCAACTCCCAGAAGCCTTCACCACCAGCTGTCCTGACTGGGGTTTCTGGGAAGTGCAGTTCAAAAGCATCCGAGTAACAAAGGTTAAGAACCACTGCCTTAAAGGACCTACACATCTGACGTGGGGCGGAGGAGGCTGAGGGAGCTCAGGTGGGCACTGTTTCAGAAGCATGTGACACTGAAATCACCCCTGCCTCTCCAGCTGCACTTGCCCCACCAGTTGCTGGAGCTAGTAGTGATGACAAGTTAGCATTCCTTGTTAGGGACATGCAGTCAAAAACTGAAGCTCCTAAGAAGTCAACCATCTGGAAGCACTTTCAACAGTGCGCAACAGAAGCCCAAATGGCTGAGTGCATGCACTGCAAGAAGGTGCCCAAGTGTGAGCAGAACTTGGGTTACCTCTCCAACAGTAGCACACCAGCAGACTCAGCACGGGGAATTGCTGCTGTCAAATGAAGTGGGTACAAGTGGCTTCCTTATTGTGAAGGGCAAAAGTCATCAGAGGGCAGAGGCTGAAACACCAGCCCAGGAAAGCAGGGAGGTAGATCAGCAACTAGCAAGAGCTGGGAGGCAGCAAATGCCAGACACACATCTCTAGAATCAGTTCTAGGCTAGCCTGAAAGAGCTTGGAGGGGTACAGAAAAAGGCCTTCTGCGAATGTAAAAGTGTCAGAATTACTTGTTTCCTAGGGGAGATGATAGCCCCAGAGAACACGGGTTTCCATAAGTTTGTGGCAGAATTGGCAACTCGTTACCAATTGCCATCTTGAATGACCCTTGGACACAGGGTGGTGCCAGATTTATACTGGGCTATCAGGTGACCAGGACAACAGCAGTTGGCCAGGGTGCAGGTCGTTCACTTGACAAGTGACATCTGGAGCAACTAGGGTGCAAAGCATGCCTGTCTCACCCTGGCAAGACACTGGTGGGAGGTGGAGGCATCAGGCATAGGGCAGCAAACAAGGGCAGGATATAGGTGGCCCCTGTTGAACGTGGCTGTGATGGAGGGAAGCCACAAAACGTACAGCAGTCAAGAGGCTCTGAGGCAGTGCAGCAGTGCAGCCTAGCTACAGAAAGGCAAGATCTGTTTTTCACAGACAGTGGGGCAAATATCGTGGTAGCACTGCATGTTGGGAAGATGAAAAGAGTGTGGTGTTTGACCAACGTTCTCATACTTGTAGCTGAGGGTATTTTTCAGAATGTGAAGGACATGTTCATGTCTAATATAATCAAGTGGGCCAGAAAGGTGGCCTGGCATTTTCACCACAGTGTCTGGAGACACCACCCCAGAGCAAGGACATGGCAGAGGTAGAGATGTCCATACAGGAGCCCTCAAGACAAAAGAGACAAAGCCCTTGTCCTACTGGGCTGAGAAAGAGTCTGTTAGGGGACAGTTGACCAAGGTGGCAGTAGTACTGCGGTCTTACCCAACAAGGAGACATTGTCAGTCCACACCGCTCATACCTATCTGTAGAAAAACGTACAGTATTTTTCTTATGGTCAACCTGCCATTGCTGTGCTTCCTTAAAGTTCCTTTTAAATAAGAAAAATGGCACACTCTGCTCACAATACTAGGCATGCCATGTGTCAATCTGCTGCACCCTCCTTCCGCCTCTTTCATTCTTACACCTCCTACTCCACAATTGTGCTTACTCACTCAACTGTGCTGTGCCCCATGCTGGTGGCACAGTTTTCACACACCACAGGCTATCTGCTGCTCCAGTTTGCCTACCAGTGTTGCCCAGGATATTTTCTCATTCCCCCAGTGCAACCTGTTTTTTGCTTCCCCAACGCTGCTGGCATTTCTTGCTGGGTTCCCAGCATTCAGGATTCAATGTGCTCATTACAGTCATTTCTTAATACCTAGACACTGCTGGCTGTTGGTGTGCACCCTTTTTGTTTGACACAATAACTGGGAAGGTGTCAAAGAACACAGCAAAATCTTTTAAAAATGTTTTGCCTTTTTGTGTTTTTTTTAAAAAGAGGAAATAAATGACTACATAGTATTCATATTGACTTCAATGGAGTTCCGGATATCTGGAAATTCCAATTTTTTAAAATTCTGAATTCTAAATTTAAATTTTGGAGCTAGAACACACGATTAGTTACTATGTTTCATCATGTCATCTGCAATGTAATCAGTGACTTCTGGAACGTTCTGTCATTAACAGCCCTGCTGAGGTCTTATGAACCAAAGGTCATGGCTTCCTTTATTGAGACCATCCCTTTCATAGTCTATCTTCCTCTTTTCCCACTGCCTTCAACAGAAATAACAGTCATCCCAAAATATGATGCTCACATAAAGGAAAAACCTGTTGAGGCAACCTTGTAACTAGTGACTGTTTTCCTAAGTGGTATTTCCAGTTGATAAGTCAGCTGGGTGACTAAATCGGCCTTTTACGCCTCAGCTTTCAAAGGATTAGGCGTAGATACAAATTAAAACTTAGCAACTATATGATCCCAAGCTCAATGCAGGGAAGCCCACTATGGAATTATTTCTTTTTCATGAGGAATTCGCCTGTAATTTTTTGTTCAGCTGGTAGGTGTGGTTTAAATATGTTCCAGTGGGGTTGACTTAGTTTTTGCCTGCTTTCTGCCCAGTGATATTGCCTGTTACAAAGGCAAAAGGACACTTGTGA